GACGTCCCGCTCCCCCGCACCCCGCAGGCCAGACGCGCACGCTCCGCTTCGTGGCCAACGTGACGGAGGCCCACCGCATCCTGCTGCGCTGGGAGCGCTACGAGCCCCTGGAGGCCCGCGACCTGCTCAGTTTCATCGTGTACTACAAGGAGTCGTGAGTGCGGGGCGGGCGGGAGAAGACCCAGGGAGTCACGTCCGCTGGAGAGCCCCTGTCTGGCTTTCTCCCCTCACCTCTTTCCTCGCTGCATGCCTCAGTTTCCCTCAGTGAAATGGAGAGGGCAGTCAGGGCTTCTGAGAGCCGGAGAGGAAGACAGTTCTGCTGAGAAAGCTTGGATAATTAAACTGCAATTCACTATGCTAATGTTCCACGCTGACCACACTTCTGCCCCAGCAGCGGTTTGGGGAGTGTCCACTAATTTGGCCAGTTTTGTGGGCAGCTCTGCCAGCATTTCATTAAAATCCCAAGGAGGGAGAGAGCAGGGCCCAGCAGGGACCAGCGCTCTTTCCTTTGCAGAGTGGAGTGGCCTGGCAAAGGGGACAGTCGTGAGGCCACAGGAAGGACTCCTCCAAAATTGCTGAGGAACCCTGGAGCTCTCCTTAGGGGGAGACGTGGACTGGAGGGGGGAGAGGCAGGGAGGGCAGGAGTGGAGCACACTCAGTGTCAGATGGAAGGGGGCCACCTGGGTCAGAAGCCCTGTGGGTGACCCCGGGCTCAGTGCAGCAGAGGATCTCTGGAGTCCTTCAGAAGCTCCCCTAGTAGCATCCCTCCTGTGCGACAAGGCTGCGATGTGCTCTCAGGATCCACACTGGGTCCTGGCTCATACTGGCTCTGAGCAGGCATGGACCCACCCCGTGTGTTCCACCCCACAAGGCAGCTGCATCCGAACACCTGCCCCTAGACTGTCCTGCTTCTGAACCCCAACTAGGGCAGACTTTTCTAGCTGGGCTCAAGCTCCTCCCAACAGGCTTCCTTTGACCTCCCCTCGGGCTCTGTCCCTGGCACAGTAAGAATTCACCCCTCTGCCTCCCTCCACACTCTGAACATGGGTGTGAGACCCAAGGCCTCCTGTAACCACCCACGCAGCTCTACTCTTACCTCCCCAGGGACCAGCCACCTCCTACCCTAAAGCCAGGGCGCTGCACCAAGGCCTGCCTCTTTCCTGGCCCAGATTAAGTTCCCTGTGCAGCGGGGCTTGGATTTGGGGCCTGTAAACATGTTCCAGTGCTGCTGAAAGCTCAGAACGTTCTAGAAAAACACATGCAGCCTGCGCCTGTGGTCTGGGGCTCACAGAACTTTGGAGTCCATGCATGGGCCTGGGTTAAGACGTGGTAATCTCATTGCTTGCTGTTCCTAGAAAGAAAACTCTATGTTCACCTTCTAGTTTTATGTATGCAATGCAATTATTTTTCATATTCATTGAGAGTAAAGCTCCATATTTCCTGCTAAGGATAAAAAGACATTTCGTCATGAACTTGACTACACAGATTTTTACAGGGCACCCAGGGTCTATGGGAGGATGGAATTGTTGCTCTGTCTCATGCATATGCAAGACTGACAATAACAGTCCTCAGGTCATTTAGAAAGGTTCTGGTGCTGGAGACCCAAGAGGCTCACAGCTGGGGGTGGGGTGTTCAGCCCATTTCAGAATGCCACTGAGCACGTGGGTCCAGACGCCTGTGGAACCCAGAGCTGGAACCTGCTGGACGTGGAGCTGCCCCTGAGCCGCACCCAGGAGCCCGGGGTGACCCTGGCGCCCCTCAAGCCCTGGACACAGTATGCAGTGTTTGTGCGGGCCATCACGCTGACCACGGCTGAGGACAGTCCCCATCAAGGGGCCCAGAGCCCCATCGTCTACCTCTGGACTCTGCCTGCAGGTGGGCATTCAGACTGGCCAGATCGATGCCACCCTGCCAGGGAGAAGGGGACCCAGGCATCAAACAGAACAGGGAGCAAGGCACACCGGGCCCCAGAGGCTGGGAGATCAGAGGCCTCTGTTGGAGGAGGACTTGGGGGAGGCGTTCCTGGGGAAGCTGAGGCTCGGTGAGTAACGTAGGGAACTAGGTCCCTTTGGAGCAAAGAGAATGCGGATTTCCAGGGAGGCCCAGGGTCCCCCCTTCCTGGAGAAGAAGGGCGGTGGACCTGAGGGGGGGCTCATTACCAGGTGTGTAGTGTCCAGAGGCCCCATTTGTACCCTCCTCTCACGCCCAGCACCAACCGTGCCCCAAGACGTCATCTCCACCTCCAACTCCTCCTCCCACCTCCTGGTGCGCTGGAAGCCGCCCACCCAACGCAACGGAAACATCACCTACTACCTGGTGCTCTGGCAGCGGCTGGCCGAGGACGGCGACCTCTACCTCCACGACTACTGCCACCGCGGTGCGCAGGGAGGCGCGGTCGGTCGGAAGGAGGGAGCGGAGCGGGCGGCCGGACTGAACGACCGCTCCCTCGCCAGGCTTGCGACTGCCCACCAGCAACCACGACCCGCGCTTCGACCGCGAAGACGGGGACCTGGAGGCCGAGCTCGAGCCAGGCTGCTGTCCCTGCCAGCACGCCCCTCCTGGGCAGGTCCTACCTGCGCTAGAAGCGCAAGAGGCCTCGTTCCAGAAAAAGTTTGAAAACTTTCTGCACAACGCCATCACCATCCCCAAGTGCGGCTGAGCGCGCGGGCTGGGCGGGGCTTGGGGCGGGAAGGG